CTGTTGGAGCGCCCACTGGCACTGCAAGAGCAGCTGAAGATTGGGTGGTCCAATTTCCAACATTGCCCAGGACCATCCCATGCGTGTCCAATGAAGGTCAGTATAGTACTAGGGTAGTCCAGCCAGGACGCTGAAACAGGATGGTCCTGGTAGGCCCGGCCTTCAGGCTTCAATTGGACCTAAGGAATCTCTCAGAGACTCACCTTGAATCGGTCACAAGGTCTGCTTTTGCAACTGCCCGCACCGCCCGCACCGCTACCTCCGAGCTCACGGGACACTAGCGATCCACGCGTGGCATGGCGCGTGGCTTGGCGCGTGAGCGCCTCCGTCGTCGATCCACCCGTGGCCGCCTGCCATAGGCGGAGCCACTGTGGCCACCGCTGCGGCTGAGCAGCTCCGTCCCGGGAGATAGGACCAAATTGGGGAAATGGACCGTAGAGAAAGTATCAAGTTATACTCCAGGAAGACCTGTTCATTTCTTTTGAAGTTATTCAAGTTTGGCACCCCAGTTTGCAAAGCCGTACCTGGGGGGATGCCTTAGAGAAAGACAGCAGAAGGGCACGACCTTGTCAAAATCATCATTTTCCACACGTTTGTGACCTTTATCAAAGCACCCTTTTCCTGTCTTACAACAGCAAACAGCCCTTTTGCTCGCTCGTGAAACCGGTTCCGAAAGCCACCTGTTTCTTCCTTGGGCGCGAGTGTTCACCCAAGGCACCACGCCAGATTCGGATATGATGGGATGGGGGGAACAGCCCGATGCGCGACGTCCACCTAGCTGGTGCCCTAAAACCTCCTGGTCAGGCGAACATCCTGATCTGCTTTCTGTACGTGGTTGAGCTATACAGAATGTTGATCCGCAGCTAAAGGCTCGACACAGGCATTGGCAGTGTCCCACCCGCATCCGTCTGAAGGTGACATTTCTTTAGCTGATCTGCAGCCAAACTCAGGACCCGAGGACTGTGCAATTGGGCCATTGAAACAGTGTCAAATCCTAGCCGAACATCCTTCACAACGCTTCTTCACGGGTTGTCGGGACAAAATAGGACCAGTTAGACCCCCACTCTTCACTCTTCAGCTGCTACAGACCTTGAAACAGTCTGACATGCTTGTCCGAACCCATAGATGCCCCCTTTGTTGAACAAACATTCCAACCTTTTTTGCCCCAAAAAGCGACGCTCCGAACTCGCTCGCTTTCACCGTCCAAAGTCCCCGGGGTGTCTCCACCCTCCGCCGCCACAGAGGGCTGCCTCGCGGTCGCCTCGTGGCTGGCGGTCTTGACTGGGTGAACCTGGGCCAAGACGCCGTCGAAATGTGTTTTTCAGACCTCAAAATAGATGGAAACGCAGATTCTCACAAAACATCTATTGGACTCTGTTTCTATCTACACCATACTCTTAGAGGACCACATGTACAGGTCACCAGGTCCTGAAGAGCACGATGAGACTGTGAAGAAGAACCGCAGAGACAACGAGAAACATATGAATCATGCATGATCCTTCTGAAACAAGTGAAAATTGAAAACAACCTGAACACACATTCTTCACCGGCCACACCTTCGCGGAGACGCTCCACAAAGCGTTCAAAGCTCTTGGGGTGCTTGTCCACTGCTTCGAGAAAGGCCCCAAACCTCGCAGCTTTTCACTTCCGCTTTTTCACTCGGTGTGACGAAATTGGGCCAAGGGGATGGCATGCGCATGTCGGGCTTGTCTTTGTCTTGTGAATGGCATGCGCAGTGGAGACGTCAAGGACAAACTTTTTCGAAGTGTGATGCCTCCAGTTCAAAATGAAACTGTCCCACTGGATATGCGCACACAACCAGTGAACAAACACGACAAATGGAATTTCCATGGTGGAAAAGAACCATGTGTGGCTCAGTAGTTGCTTCACTTGTCTTGAATGAGAAGAAACTCGGCTCCGAGTTTAACCCCCTTGCTTGACAGAATGGATGTAAGCTTATGGTGTCCAGTGGATTGCATTCTGTAATTATACCAATGGCGGCAAGAAGATACAGCAAACACAAACCTTACGGCACACATGTCACGAATCTGAAGCTACACACACACGTCGTCATCGACAAAAGTGGGACGTAGAAAACGACACACAAAAAGCATGGCAGAGATGGACATCGCATCCTTTTTGGTCCATTTTTCCCAAATGTCCTGCACTTTTCCGTGAACCTCCAGAGGTCTCTAGGGCAACACTTTGTCTTTCTTGCTCTATATTACTTCGTTTCTCAAGGCTTTAGCATGGAAATCAGAAGTGAAGTGTGGCGATTCATTGTCCCCATGCCAGTCTGGCTCGCATGGAAGATGTGGTTTCATTCCTGATTCCTAACCAAGCTCCAGCCCGCTCAATCCATTCAAGGCACGGAAAAAACACAACTTCAGCAAACCCTGGAGGAGGGAAACTCAAACAAGAAAATAATGAAAGCTAGAACTTTGGCTAGAAAGAAGGGCTTGGAAGATGTGAGGATGTCCTGCAAAATCCATTGAAACATGGTGCTTTGTCCAACACAAGGAAGGAACAGTTCCAGATTCCGGTCCAGGTTTCATTCCAGAAAGGTCGTGGGTGGCAAAACTCTCACTTTCTGGAGTGATCTTCAGCGAATTCTTCTTCACAAATGGTGGGGACGAAATCGAACCACACTGGAAACATCCGCCTGAAATCTGCTACTTCCATCTACTAGGAGCAAGAAGCTACGTACTAGGGGCTCCTGGCATCGCTACTAGGAGCAAGAAGCTACGTACTAGGGGCTCCTGGCGTCGCTACTAAGAGCAAGGACGCTCTTCCCACGCTCCCACCCGTGAAGTTCACCAAAGACGAACTCCACCGCCCCGCTCGCCGGTCGTGTCGCCCGAGCGCGGCCGCGGTGTCCGCGCAGTGCCGCCCGGCCGCTGGTGGGACTTCGAAGCTCCACGCGAAGCCGCACGGCTTCCTGGTGGAGCGGCGTCCGGATGGGCAGGTTTTGGGAGTGGGTTGGCCTTGCGTATGAACCTTTAAATCTTTGAATGCGCGTTTTGGAGAAGGATCGAGTGCCTGAGATTTTTTTCCGGAGAATGTTCATGTGTTTTTTTCCCCATTTGCGGTTTGCACTCGCTGACATTTTTGACATGCTATCTGTGACCTAAGCCGCTAGCGTTTCTCCACTTGCCACAGTTTTCTCAAAAACATATATAGGTGCTGAACATGTCCAGGCGCCTGTGTGCTGCCCCCTGTCGCATCCCATGTTTTCGTTTTCGGGGACGTGGTGTTTAGCCCATCCGACATGGAACTGCGTGAGAGTCCGACCGTTTGACCAACTCTCTTTCTCTCTCTCACTTCATATCGAATCGGAGCGACAGGCGACTGGTCGCTTTCACCACCCTTGGGGTTCATACAGGTCTGATTTACCTATCCCAAACACTCCATGGGACTGCCATATATGCCTACATTGGGGTGGTGCCAGGGGGGTCAATGTAGGCATATGGCATACATGGAGTGTTTGGGTCTTGCCCGTCCGGTTCATCTTCTCAGACCAAACAATACACAGAGGACGACAAAGCAGAACCGATACAGAGCCATGGGCCATGGAACTGAACGAAACCTGAAACCCCTCACATCCCCAAACAAACACATATAGTACTAGGAACAAGTGCCACGCTAGTAGTAACAAGTGCCTTACTAGTA